CCCATGCATGGCCCTGTCTGTACATATCGTCGTGCTCTGAGCCCTAATAAACCGTTGCGTGCACGCTATCCCGTCTCCGTTTTCTTCACACAACACAACGTTGATAATTATAATGTTGAACATGCCGAAGATGCTAATTTTGATCTAGGCAATAATGTTAATTTTGATCTAGCCGATCATCCTAATGTTGATCTAGGTGATAATGCTAATTTTGGAAACGCTGCCAATGAAAATAATTCTAATGATAACAATGCTAATGGTGACAATGATGTAAATTTAGAAGATTTTATTAGTAATTTGTGTGAAAACGTAGAAATTTATGCTGCTCTGCTGTATGCAATCCCCTCTGTCACTCGGAAACTAGTTGACAATATAATTAGCTATACTTCAGAGCTGATTTCTAACTCTGTTTCTCTACTGAAAAAATGTACAATGCATATATTGTCTAAATTTCCTGAAATGTATGATGATTTTCATGTTGATGTGCAGAAACTTACAAACATGTTCGAAGTTATAGGAAACCCCTTTGAATTTATGTCTACTGAATACCGTCGACTGTGCACTCTAGCTGAAAAGGGTGTTTACATTAAGCCTGAGCCCTTTGAAATGGGACATGTTGATAAATATATCCAAATAGAAGGTAGAGTTCAGCTTGTCAGAAGTCCAGTTTACGGATATACCATTCCTTTAAGAGAGGTTCTGCAGCAATTTTTACAAAGACCAGGGGTTTTGGAAGAAATTTTGAACTTTATGAACAGTCTTCAGAATGTTAATGGAAGAGTATCACATTTTCTGCAGGGGCACCTTTGGGAGCGTATGCAAGTTTCTCATGGTGATAAATTAGTGTTACCACTTGTCCTGGACTTTGACGATTATGAACCAAATAATGCCTTGGGTTCGCATGCAAATGAGCAGTCACTGGGAGCTTTGTATGTTCGCCTGCAGTGCTTACCTCCTGACAGTAGTTCCCAGCTAGATAATATATTTTTGTTCTCATTGTTTGAGTCCAAGTACCACAAAGAGTTCGGCAATGCAGTAGCTTTTGCCTCATCCATTAGTGAACTGAAGTTTTTGCTTGAGGAAGGGTTGATTATTGTAGTTGGTGAGAGAAATCAACGGGTATATTTTTGTTTGTGTGCCGTGCAAGGAGATAATAAGGGGATTAATCATATTCTTGGGTTCCTTAAGGGTTTTCGTGGGAATTATTTTTGTAGGTTTTGCAAAATGCACTGGGACGTCACGATCAGGTGGTGTCGTCCGGTACCAGCCGAATTGATTCGCAACACCGAAAATTATGATGTTGATGTAGCTCGTAATGATTCTCGTGCGACTGGTATTCATGAACAATGTGTGTTTAACGAGTTGCCAGGTTTCCACTGCCTCTCGAATTCTACCTGTGACGTAATGCACACGGTATTTGAGGGAATGTTAAAGTACGGGATTTGTAATATTCTTTCTCATCTGGTTAATAGAAGAGGGTATTTTTCTATTGAAACTTTAATCGACAGAGTCAAAGGTTTTGACTTCGGGCCAAACGAGGTCGGAAATAAGCCCCCGACTTGTAAGTTTTCGGCTTCTAGTCTTTCCGACTGTTCCCTTAACTTATCTGCTGCTGAATGGCTATGCCTCGGGCGCTCTTTAGGTATAATGATCGGGGATCTTGTACAAGAAACCAACCAAGTTTGGAGATTGTACGTCATTATCAATGAAATTATTTTAATATGTTCTTCCCCCTTTTATGAAGTAGGTGTTGAGAATTACCTGTTAAGACTTGTGCAAGACCACCATGAGTTGTATACTCGTTTCTTTGGAGACCTTAAACCAAAGCACCACCTAATGCTTCATTATGCAGAACACTTTAAGAATTTTGGCCCTCTTACAGCATTTAGTGCTCTTTTATCAGAGCGTAACCACAGGAGGGGCAAATTATATGCCCGTGTGTGCAACTCCAGGATTAATTTAGCCCTAACCTGTGCCATTAAGTTTCAATTATATTTGGCGGAGAGACTAATGCGTCCAGATGGGCGCCAGCTAATTGTGCATACTAAGTGTAAGCGAGTTTTACTTGCATCTCTGGCCTACCATGCAATGTTTGCTCATCTTTTACCATTTCCTGACAATATGCTTCATACTGTTGACAGAGTAGAGGTAAAAGGGACCATTTACGTTCCAAAGGCTGTACTGGTAGTTGGTGTAGGGGCCGACTTGCCATTATTAGGTAAAATTATCTATAACATAATGCATAATGATGGTGTAGTGTTCGTCGTTCAAATGTACAAAGTTGTTGGTTACCTTGAACATGTATGTGCATATGAAGTGGAGGATGGGGATCAATGGTGTTGTCTGCGCCATGAAAATGTACGCTATTACGACCCACTTCACCTGCGCACCACATCTGACGGAAAGAAAGTGGTTGGTTTGACATATTCTCTCTAAAAGAACCCATGTACTGTTTTGACGTAATTGCTGATGTGAAAACATGTTTGTATTTTGTATGTTAATGGTCTATACATAGTTATTTGTATTTTGTACTATAAGTGTTATGTTTCTTGTAACTGTTCGTTGTCACATGTTTATGTATACTGTGCATTGTTATAATTGTCCCAGGGCACAATATCAGTATTGTTTAATAAAGTGTTCTATGATGCCCTATATTTTGTTTTTTTAACTATACACACATTTACATTATTAATAATTTATTAAAATACAACAAATTTATAACTATCAAAATTATTTGGAGGCAGAAATAGCAATCAAAATTTTACATCAGATATGTGCTCTCTTTTTGCATTTGAGCATTCTCCATACGAGCAGGTATGTGCATTTGTGGCACTAGAGTTCAGCAAACAAAATACAAAGAAACAAAATTGCACGACTATTGAAGTTAAGTCACATCTTTCTTTGGACAAAATGCAACGGCATTATTCCGTTTATTCATTGAACTGTTTCTCTGTTCAGGCGCGCTGCTGCGTGACAGAGGGGGGGGGGCGGCATTCACTACACATAAATAACAGAAGTCTTACATATTATCCAGCTAATAGGCTGTAGAGAAAAGCGCCCTTTTATTTAACGCACTTCTGAAATTTGCCATACCGACGGGCCCCCGGCCCCAAGCATGCCTTTCGCTCGCTTGATGTTTTACAAGAACTAAATTAGTTCTCTGGCTTCGTAAAAAGAGAGGCAGAACTCAAGCGCATTCCGATCTCAACAGTCTCGAGAACCGTGGGGTCGGTTTTAGAACAGAACAATCAAGTGCACTTGTAGATTGGTTAAAGTTCGCAATAAATTAAGTACAAACTGAATACTGATACAAGACCCAGATGTTTCCCGTTCACATGCTGTGTACGGTCACCAACCTCTGTTTGAGAACCATCTAAGCCCACACGGGGCTTGGGAGGACAGAGCAGTGCTGGCAACGAAATGGGGCTTGGATTAAGTCCAAAATGTTCCAGAGACTATCAAGTGAATTTGGGTCTCCGTTCGTGTGCCATGGGCTTGAATCAAGAACACGCTTTTCTGGGTGTAATGATGTGCCACCATAAAATAAGCCCACTCTTCTGCTTAGAATTTTTTTTTGAACTGACGGCATAGGCCACTTCTCAGACAAAAGTGTACTCCTGAAAATATGAAAAAGATTCTGTTTTGGCTATTTCAGTAAGAAAAATTCGCTTTTGTAAGTAAACAGTGAAAGCCAAACGGACGACATACTAGCCCAGAGGGTTCTTCTTTCACGATTTACCCCTTTGAAGACCATCAAATATTTTCTTAAAATAAAATATTTATTTTTGGGCCACTTTCGTGAGAAAAACTCCCTCTAGCGTCTCAACGGTGAGAGATAGAGCCAAACGGACGAAATTTTCGCCCGGAGAGCTCTACTTCTTCAAGTTACCCCTTAGAAGACCGTAAACAAAATATTGTTTTCCTACTTCTTAGACCACCACCCATTTCTTCGTTATCCCCTCAGACCCACTCAGGGGTGGTTGCCAGGATTTGCACCAACCGTTTCGTTGTCCAGAAGTGACAACAACAAGGTAGATGTACGGCAGACCACGTCTCGCGTAACAGGCTTCGCGATACCTCACGGAACACTGTTTCGCTGCGACGCGCCTGGCATACATCTACCTTGGCCTGCGGCGCTGACACCCGAGTCAGGTAGAACAAAAATGCACTCAAAAATTCGGGCCTCCGGCCCGTCAACCCCGTCACTTAGACTAAGCATGCATGGTTGTACATTTTTTCGATTATTTTCGTCAAAAATACCCTCTAGCGTCTAAATGGTTGGAGCTAGAGCAAAACGGACAAAATTTTCGCGCAGAGGGCTCTGCTTTGATGAGTTACCCCCTCGGAAACCAGAATTTTTTTTTTAAAAGAAAACAGTCATTTTTGGGACCTGTGGTTTTTGATTTTTTTAAAATCCAATTTTTGAGCTAGAATGCTAATCTTCGAACTCGATCTGTCTTTTAATGACACAAGACGACCCTCAAAATCCCAGGTCGCTCACTTAATTCGTTCTTGAGTTATCGTGCGGACAGACAGACACACAGACAGAAAAAGTTTTTTCCGACCAGACGGAGTAATAGGCTTCGCTAATCGCTCAGCCAAAAAGCATTAAAGCGGGCTTATGCAACGGCTCTCGTGTCCGTCCGTCCGTCTGTCTGTCTGTCCGTCCGTCGTCCGTGTAAGAGGAAGGAGATGAGCTAGAGGTCTGCAAATAGGGTATTTCACCCAGTTTAAACCGGATCCAAAGAAGAACAGTAATGCTTCCTGAACTATTTCCTCCTTGACGCTCATTGGCTAACGCGGACGAAGTTCGTGAACCCGCCACCAGGTCAGCGAGTGCCCTAGTGTCGGGTGCGAGAACTTCGTCCGCGTGAGCCAATG